AGCCCCGAGGACCTGGAGAGGTGGTACGCGTCGGGGGCACGCCGCCGCCTGCTGTGGCGGAGCTGCAAGATCGCGCGGTGCGCGCTGCACCTGGACGGCCGCCTGCCCGACGCCCCGCGCTCACCAGCCCGCCAGCGGCAGCAGGCCCTCGGCGGCCCTCCGTGGCCAGCGCGCGCGTCCGTCGTCGGCCCTCGGCGGCCGCTGGCGGCCCGCGGAGGCCCTCGGCGGCCCCCTGCGGCCATCCACTGGCGGCCAGGGCGCGCGGCCTTCGGCCGAGGAGCCGCGGAGGGCCCGACGCCGCCGGGCCACCCCCTCCCCGCCGTAGAGGCACAAAAGGCTGGACTCGTCTTTCGGAGCCCGATGCGCCACGTGCGGCTCAGTGTTTCGTCGCCGCCTCCGCCGTGTGGCTGAAGTGCTGGAGGTCCCGGCGAAATGAGCAGCATGTTTGATCATGCTGCTCCCAATTCGGAATGGTAGAGTTGCAGAGGGCTTCCTGTTCCACGCCTCATATCGAGACTATAGGTGTAAGTTGTATTGGTAGCACCGCAAGGTAGATAGCGATGGCGTGGAGGGATAGCCCATCCCAGCAATCACCCTTCCAGGTCAGTCCGCAGCATGTGCAATAATTCAGTGTTCGATTTCCTGAAAGAGCTTCGTCGTCTGCCGCCGCCCCCCTCTGGCTGCTTGCATTGCTACGCTTGTTCGGTTTGTTAGTTCGTTGGTTTGTCGGGTGGTTTGCTGGCAACTCGGCTCGATGAATGGCCGTTGGGTTTGTCTGGTTGCTGGCTTGCTGGTTGCGTGCGCCTGTAGTACGTACTATGAGATAGTGGTCTCGGGGGCGTGCTTTCACTGTAATTTGCGAGGGTTGGCGGTTTCGGTACCGCGCATCCCCCATTGTTTTCGTGGATTTGCGGCCTCGGGTCCAGGCTCAAATCGGCGAGAAACAAAAGGCGGTGGGGCCCAAAAGCTCTCCCCCCGAGCACGTCAGCCACTCCATAAACTTGCAGCTCTTCAGCTCTGGGCACGAGGGGTGGGGTCGAAGCCTCGGGAGGGCGAATTTGGATCAAGCTGCTCTCGGGAGCGCGGACCTGCTGTGCTGTCCGTGGGACTGGCCTCGGGGGCGCGAGCGCGTCGCAGTTTACTAAAGGACTCTCCGAGATCGGGGACGCAGGCTTGCGGTGTAATTTGCAAGGGATTGTTGTTTCGGATTTGCGATGTAATTTGCAATGGATTGCAGCTCGAATGCGTTGTGACTTGCGGCTTCGAGGACGCCAATGTCTTGCATACTGTTGCAGAGCCATTTGGGGAGGCAGGGCTTCGAGGACGCAGTTTCTTCGCTCCCAGAGCCATAGTCCGCATCACAGCTTGTGTTGCGGATTATGGCTCTGGAAGCGCGAACGCGCTGCATGTTGCTAGGGGTTGCGGCTTCGCGAGCACGAGTTCTTCATAACTTCTAACAGATTGTGGCCTCTGGGGCGCAAACTTGCTTCAATTACAGGAAGGAGTTGTGGCCAGGGAGCGCGAACCCATCAAACTTTACATAGGTTTGTGGATATTTTGGCCTCGGGTTCGCGAACACTTGTTGATTTTCAAGTAATTTTGGTTTCGGTCGGGGGCGCGAGCCCGCCGTCATTTGAGGGGTTGTGGCTTGGGGAGCGCAAGTTCTGCGTAATCTGGGAGGGCTTGTGGCCTCGGGGGCGTGAGCCTGTTGTACTTCACGTGTCCCTGGGCTCCAACACGTTCGGGCAGCGTGATTCTGGGAGGGGAGCCGGCAAAGTCTCGGGACGGAGCTCACGCGGCATGCGATCACTCCAACACGGAAGCCAGAATCCCTAACACCTGTAAGTTCAAGCTTTAGACCTCGAATTGTTGCAGGGGACAGGAACACCTCCACCTCGCAGGTTGTTGACCCCCACGGAGCAGGCGGATCTGCAAATTCTTCGAATCTTGGCTGACTGAACGACCCATCATGACCTGTGACCTGTAGGTGAATTTTGCATGCGCCACGACAGTGATGAACGCCCCAATCGAATAGGCAACAATGTCAACGATGCCGACTTGAACGAGCTGCAGTTTTTCCCTGGACAGCTTGTCCATCGGGTTTCGCCCGTGGTTCTGATCCTTTGCGACCTTGATACCCTGGGTTATCTCAGAGCGTGAATTACCTACCCCGCTTTCGCTTCCAGGCAAAACCAAGTCATACCACGCGCCTCCTCGTCAAGCGGCCTGACCAGTACAGGCCGTAGTCTGGCATCGCTTGGTGTCTCTTGGAAGCGAGGGTGGTCAAAAGCGAGGTAGGTTTGCTTGCCCCCTATTATCAGACTCCCCCCTCCCTCCCCCCCTGGGGATAAGCTGACCTTGCTGGGTGTGCAGAGCCGAGAGGGTGCGCGGTCTTTGTGCGCGCGGGCGGGCATGCGCGGGGCTGCCCAGAGCGAGAAAGCCAGGTCATGGGCCAGCACTTCCGCTCTCCCCCCCCACTAGATGACCCAGTCTCTTGCCGAAGAAGCAACAACGATCTCCGGAATAGTTCGTCCCAGACACACGTGGAGGAGGATGAGGAGGAAGAGGACACACGTGGAGGAGGATTCAGGGGGAAGGAGAAACAGGAGGAGGAGGGGGAGGAGGAGGAGGAGGAGGAGGAGGAGGAGGAGGAGGAGGAGGAGGAGGGAGGGGCCAGGATGAGGAGGAGGGGGAAGGAGGATGAGGAGGAGGAGGAGGAGGAGAGGAGGAGGAGGAGGAGGGGGAGGGGGAGGAGGAGGAGGAGGAGGAGGGGGAGGAGGAGGAGGAGGACCAGTTTAAACCCGATAGTCATCAGCGATGTTGGAATGAACCCTCCCTCTAACCCTCTAAGCTCCCTCTTCAGAGGCCCCTACAATGGTTCTTTTCCATTGAGGGAACTGCCTCGTTGAGACCCCGAAGCATGCCAAAAGATTGTTCTCGGGATTTCAACGCCATGGATCAACCTGACTGCTGTGTCTTGACGATCCAGAATCGTGCCAGAACGCCATTCTTGGGATTTCAGCACCGCGAATCAACATAACTGTTGCACCGGCATAGTCTTGAATCCTTCCAAAACACCATGTCTGGTACGTTGACCATGGGAGTCAGTGAACTCTTCCAAATTTTACGGGGAGAGCCACATTTTGAAAAGGAGCCGCCCCCAATCCGTGAAGCTCTTGCAACTCTGTAAAACGCATGTGCGTGGCGCTAAGGCGAGAGCCACATTGTGAAAACGACCCGCCCTCAATCCGTGAAACTCTTTGCACATTTTTAATGTACGCGGCGCTGTGGCGAGAGCCACATTTTGAAAACAACCCGCCCTCAACCCGTGATGCTCTTGCAAGTTAAAAAAAGGAGTGCGCGTGATGCTAAGATGAGAGCCACATGTTGAACCCGCTTTTTACTTGTGAAGCTGTTGCCAATGTGTAAGCTTCAGGGTCATAAGCGGAGCGGAAGTCTCAGGCGAAACGCCCAGCCCGCCCTAAAAGTTGGCCTCGGGATGCGACAGGGAGAATTTATTCCTGAGACAAAGGAATGGAGGAGGAGGAAGAAGAGGAGGAGGAGGAGGAGGAGCAGGAGGAGGAGGAGGAGGAGGCCTGAAGATGGCGCCATAGCAGTCGGTGTGCCCCAGGAGAGTCGTCCCAAGTGCATTCCAGCGTGCCAGCTCGAAGATGGTGCGTCCTGGGGCCAGACAGTGTCGCGTCCCAGGGGCGTACTGGGTGCATTCTGAGCGTACGTGGGTTTGTGATGGAAATCCTGGAGCCAAGGATCAGGCCCAGCATGGCAAACGTGTCAGCGAAAGTGTATGAGGCGTTCGGGGATCGGTGCTGCTGCTCCAGATTTCCAGGCCTCCAGGCCTCCCCCAAATCTCTAGGACCCCCCAGTGCTTCCGAGGAACACCAAAGCGCCTCCAGGAGCCCCCAGACCCCAGACCTTCAGCTCGTCTCTCTGCCCTCATGCTCCTCCTCCGCCTCCTCCTATGGTGGTCGGAAGGCTCCGTGCTGGTCGGTCTTCGAAGGAGGGCGGATGATGAGGATGAGGATGAGGATGATGATGAGCCTGAGGATTAGGATGGGGGTGGGGATGGGGATGAGGATGAGAATGAGGATGAGAATGATGACGACGACGATGACGACGATGACGACGTCGACGATGATGATGATGGTGGTGGTGGTGATGATGATGCTGCTGCTGCTGATGATGATGATGTGGAGGAGGAGGAGGCTTATGTTATTGATGTTGCTGCTGATGATGACGATGATGCTGATGTTGGTGATGATGCTGATGATGATGGGGATGAGGATGACAATGGTGATGATGAGGATGGTGGTGATTATGATGATGGTGCCGAGGCTGATGCCGATGCTGCTGATGATGAGGATGGTGATGATGATGATGATGACGACGACGATGACGATGCCGACGAAGCTGAGGATGCTGATGCTGCGGGTGATGCTGATGATGGCGATGGCGATGACGATGCTGACGACGATGATGATAATACTAATGATATCATCGATGCTGATGCTGATGATGATGATGCTGATGATGATGACTGTGAATGTTATTGTGATGCTGATGGTGCTGGTGATGCTGATGCTGACAGCGATGCGATTGCGACAGCGATGGCGATTGCGACGATGATGATGCTGATGATGATGATGCTGCTGCTGGTGATGGTGATGACGACGACGACGACGACGACGACGATGATGATGATGATGATGATGATGATGATGATGATGATGATGATACTGATGATGATGACGGTGATGCTGATGGTGATGGTGACGCTGATGCTGCTGCTGATGCTTGTAATGATGCTGCTGCTGCTACTGCTGATGATGATGCCGATGCTGATCATGATCTGATGATGATGATGATGATGATGATGATGATGATGATGATGATGATGATGATGATGATGGGGATGACGATGATGATGATGGTGATGCTGATGATTATGAGGATGTTAATGCTGATGACCCCGATTTGATGGTGGTGACGGTGATGGTGATGGTGATGATTTTATGATAATGACGATGACGACGATGCGGTCGATGATGACGATGGTGATGATGATTATACGGATGATGATGATGATGATGATG